AGATTTTACTTTCTTGGGCTCCATGATCACTGCAGATGGTGACAGCAGCCACGAAATTAAAAGACGCCTGCTTCTTGGGAGAAGGGCAATGACAGGCCTAGACAGCATCTTGAGAAGTAGAGACGTCACCTTGCCAACAAAGGTCCGTATAGTTAAAGCCATGGTTTTCCCAGTAGTGATGTATGGAAGTGAGAGCTGGACCATAAAGAAGGCTGATCGCCGAAGAATTGATGCTTTTGAATTATGGTGCTGGAGAAGACTCTTGAGAGTCCCATGGACTGCAAGAAGATCAAACGCATCCATTCTTAAGGAAATCAGCCCTGAGTGCTCACTGGAAGGACAGATCGTGAAGCTGAGGCTCCAGTACTTTGGCCACCTCATGAGAAGAGAAGACTCCCTGGAGAAGACACTGATGCTGGGAAAGATGGAGGGCACAAGGAGAAGGGGGCGACAGAGGACGAGATGGTTGGATAGTGTTTTCGAGGTTACCAGCATGAGTTTGACCAAACTGCGGGAGGTAGTGGAGGACAGAGGTGCCTGGCGTGCTCTGGTCCATGGGGTCATGAAGAGTCGGACACGACTAAACGACTAAACAACAACAACAACAATCATATCTCCTCCCAGTCTCCTCTTTTTCAGGCTAAGTATACCCAGCTCCTTCCTCTACTACCTCTTTTCCTATCTTGGGCTGCAGCTCCCTCCTTACATCATTTATTCTATTATCACCAGGTTGGGCATCACTTTTCTTTTGAGTGAAGACAGAGGCAAAGTAGGTGTTGAGTAGTTCCACCTTTTCTCTGTCACCCAACAGCATTTCTCTGTCTTCCCCATGCAGAAGGCCTACCACTTGCTTGTTCTTCCTCTTACTTTGCACATAGCTGAAGAAGAAACCCTTTTAAATTATTTTTAACCTCTCTTGCAAGCCTGAGCTCATTCTGAGCTTTAGCTAGCCCAATCCCCCCCCCCTACAACTGTTGGCTACTTGTGTATACTCCTGCTTTGTGATTTCCCCTTTCTTCCATTTCTTATACATGTCCTTCTTAACTCTCAGCTCATCTGTAAGCTTCTTATGCAGCCACACCAGTTTCCTTAGATGCCTTCCACTTTTCTTTCTTGTTGGTATTGTCTACATTTGGTTCTTCAATATTTCTCCTTTTAGAAACTCCCATGCTTCTTGGACTCCCTTCTCATTGGGTATTTCAGACCATGAGATCACACCCAGTAGCTTTTTCAGCTTTTCGAAATTGGCCTTCTTAAAGTCCAGAGTGCGTGTCCGACTTCACTCAGTTTTCCCTCGCCTTTGTATCCTGAAACCTAGAAGAACACGATCAATTCCTCCCAAGTTTCCAAGCACTTCCACTTCATCAATCAGTTCCTCCCTATTGGTGAGGACCCAGGTCCAAGATAGATGGTCCCTTTGTTGGTTCTTCCACCTTCTGGGAAATGAACTCGTCAGCAAGGCAATGGAGGAATTTGTCAGACCTTGTGCTCTTGGAAGAGTGCAAGTCCCAACAGATATTGGGGAAGTCCCCCATGATTACTACTGTATTTCTCTCCTTTTTAAATGTTTGGTAATCTGCCCATAGCAATTGTCACAACTTTGGCAGTTTTAGGTCTTGGGTGGAATCCTGTAGTCTATCAAAAGAAGGGTGAAGTGGTGACGATACCAGTGTTCCCCATTAAAGGAGTTTTTGAGGGAAGTCTCTGGCCTCATGCGCTCAGCAGGCAGTCATTGAACTCCCCTCAACAGCGCAGAGGGGGGATAGCTGTGTAAACACACGTTTTGCAGTGTCCCCCCATATTCCAATTGATCCTGCTTTGCCTCAGACTCCCAGCAGGGGGCTGAGAGGTATACACACCCAATGCCTAAGCCAAGGTTTCCTACATCTGAAATTAAATAAAGTTGTGGCCATTTTAATTCCAAATTTGTTGTCATGCATATTCATTGATAGAGGTCAGGCTCCCGGAAGGGGGCGGGGACTGCGATTGGGCACGCAATAAAATATTTTGATCACATTCTCAGCTTGGACAATTGCCACATTTGAAAGAAACAGGATAACTTATACCCAGACACATGTGCACCCACATCATACATAAACCCTCATATTCCATGGTACATTATCATTCCACAATAGTTTTCTTTCTCCAAAATACTACCGGTTCCACATGCAGGGCCAGCTAGGCAGGCAGAGCTTTGTAGTTTGTCTTGGATGTGGAAATGGCGTCAGGAGGAGGAATTTGTATTTGTTAGGCAGTGGGGAACATTCTGGAACAAGCTGGGCCTGTACAAAACAGCCACTTTCATGCTTAACTGAGCCTCTTGGGCTTGCCAATCAGGTCAGCGGTTCAAATCCTTGTGAAGGGGTGAGCTCCAGTTGCTTTGTCCAAGCTCCTGCCAACCTAGCAGTTTGAAAGCACACCAGTGCAAGTAGATAAATAGGTACCGCTGTGGTGGGAAAGTAAAAGGTGTTTCTGTGCGCTCTGGTTTCCATTAAAAATTTGCATGGTTTTTATTGTACTGTACATTGATACTTTTCTTGTAAACTTGCTTGGTATTTTGGGGGCTATAGTGGTATATAAATGTTTTTTATAAATAAATAGAAAATATAAACTGTTCAAAGATCTTCATATATTATTATTATTAAATTTGTTATTCACTTTATCTTGCCCAAGGCAACCCAAAGTGACTTCCAGTCAACCATATATACAATATATATTTCAGCTAGATGTATACAAATACTAAGTGTATAACACTGTGGAAATATAATGATGCTGATTATTCAGAATAAATCACATGGCTTTCAAATTTAGACCCATATTTATATTTGTGCTCCTACACATCAGGGATCCATTTCATTTGCTTCCATCTCTGAGGGCTCTGCATCTTTCTCACCGGTGGCCTTTGTACCAAATTATGGTACAAAAATAATCTAAAATGTATTTTAGTGCAATGTAATGACTCATTGCTACTTCTGTTTATTTTGCAATCGTATCACAATTAATATATTAGCAGAAGTGGAAACACATGTGTAGTTTAATAGAAATAATATGACATGGAAAGTTTTAAGAATAAAGTCAGTTTAAGTGCAAGATCCAGTTAAAGATGCAGTTAATAATCCTTAGTTCTCACTTCAGGTATGGCTACGTGTGAATTCTCCTTCTCTCTCTTTCTCTCTCTCTCTCTCTCTCTCTCTCACACACACACACACACACACACACACACACTGTACTTGAGTTTGGCATTATGTGAGACCCTGCAATCCTAGATCTAAAAGCCTATGCAGATATTGCAAATGTGTATGTTAATTGTAAGAATGAGGATGTGAAATGCCACCACAGCTCACCAAAAAACCATGTATACTTTTGAGATCACTAAGAGAAGTTTGATACAGAAACCAGGTTCTCAGAGTGATTTTAGGAGAGCAATTCAACTTTACTTCTACAGTTCACAGAATTTCTGGGTCCAGGTATAAAACTTTTTGAGGAAATATTGCTGGACAGTCATGCCATCAGCTTTGGGACTACATTGAGATATAAAGGTATTGAATTGTTAGCTGACCTATTTGTAAGCCTTGCTCACTTTCTGGTGTATTTTAAACGAACTGGTAATTGTTGGATTCTTATTGTGTCAGTTTACAGTGATAACCTTTATTATGCTTATGTAATATTATAACAGGGTCATTTTATATTATAATATAAATTATAATAGGGCCATCGTTCTACCCAGACACTGAGGTCCAGCGCTGAGAGACTTATGGCGGTTCCCTCACTGCGAGAAGCTAAGTTACAGGGAACCAGGCAGAGGACCTTTTCGGTAGCAGCGCCCGCCCTGTGGAACGCCCTCCCACCAGATGTCAAACAGAAAAATAACTACCAAACTTTTAGAAGACATCTGAAAGCAGCCCTGTTTAGGGAAGCTTTTCATGTTTAATAGGTTATTGTATTTTAGTGTTTTGCTGGAAGCCGTCCAGAGTGGCTGGGGAAACCCAGCCAGATGGGTGGGGTATAAATAATAAATTATTATTATTATTATTACTTGTGTCCCATTTTCAGCACAAACACGGTTGTGAATAGTTTGGTATATAAATAAATTGACTATGACTAAAATTAACAAGCATGTCTACAGAATTAGCACTGCCTGTGCAAATATGCACAGTTGACTTCAGTTTCACACAATATACCCTTGTTTTTATACTTAATTTTAGAAGAAAAGCACTTAATCAAGAACAGAGGAGGCTGCTTTGCGGATTTGCTTGAAGAATTGACTTTCTACAGTTTGCATCTGAAACCCTGTCATCTGCACACTACAGATACTTTTCTTGTAGTCTTATCCTCATTTGCCTGTAGACCAAAGACACAGATAGAATAAGACAGAACTTATATGTGTGGCTTTAACAGAGCAAATCAAATGGGGTGCAGGAAATGCCTTTCCTAACGCCCAGCTGAGCTTGCATGGGGGATAACTTTTTTCTATTCCGAGAGCTTCCTTTTTTAAAAAGGGGGGAGAAAAGCTTACCTCCTATTGATTTCAGTAGGAAGGAGATAAACTGTACCAGCTGCAAGACTGGCATAGTCTATTCGCTGTTCTGTGGGGAGGGGGAATCAGAAGACTAGGAGGGTTTTGGATCCTGCACATCCATGAATAAGCTGGTATGTTCCTTTTTTTGTCCTATCTAACATCAGAGGAGTAATGGCAGAGGACTTTTCCACAGCCTCACAGGGAAGGCTTGAAAGGTCGGGTGTCCTCTCCAAGGGTGAACATCTGTCTCTTGCTTTTTTCCCCAGAAACTAAAAACTGAAATGTCCTATGGCTCCTGGGATGCCCTCCTAGAGATCATAAGACTGCAGCATTAGAAAGTATGTAGAAATCATATACCTTCAAGTATGGAATAATTACTTTAATAGTATCCAGCTGCAATATAGAATATATTTAACAGGTGTTAGAGATAGTAATTAAAAGTCCCAAAATCACCCAAAGGGTCAAGAAAAACATGAAAATATGAGATCTATATTCTTTATTCCACCCAAACTGCATTGCAGTCTTCCAGTCTTTATATTTACATTATTTGCGACTCTTTCTATAAGTGCCAGTACAAACGTAACTAATGATAATCCAAAACAGCTTCACAAATGTTTCCCAAAGCAGTGTGCATTTTTTGAGCAGTTTGTTCTGATGTGCAATAATATATATACTATGTAGGCATATATATATTTTACCAAAAGCTTCATAATATGAAATATTTTCCACAGAAAGTAAAACATCCCACTTGCAGCTTATTCAGATTTCAGTTACAGAGACTTCTGCTTTTCAAGTTAGTGCAAATAATGAAAGTAAGAGCCTGAGCAAAATGAAGTACAAACAATGAAACAAGAAACAGCAAACACACCAGCCAACTCCCTGCATATAACATTTAATTAGTATATTATTAGTAGTCTTTATATACAACATATTTAAATAAATTGGCTTATTTGAGCTATAGGCAACATATTTACAAATACAAATAAAATACGTTCCTTTCACACGAATATGGAATGTCCGACATATATGAAAATAAAATGCATCTAGTAACAAAACAATGCTGTAAATAAAAAAAAGAGCAAGATGTCTTCTCTTTGTCTTGGGACAGATTTCAAGGCACTTTCTTGGCAAACCAGAGTTCAGGCTTAGCAGAAAAGTCTGAAACAAAAAACAGTTCACTTAGATTCCCAGCTATTGAATAATAATAGTAATAATAATAGTTTCAATAGAAACCAACGCATTTATAGGTTCTTGCTTACTAAAAAATGAAGAAAAACTTTAATGACTACAGGCTTTCCCAGTGCAAACACGAAATGCTCAGTGGGCAACATAACTGCTGGTACCACCCCACCATTGGCACATTCAACTGAAGATACATTTTGAGAGCCCTGAAAAATTGGGGTTCCAGTTGTACAGAAAGTCTTTTGCACACAGAGTGGATATGCACACAGATTCTGTTCCAAATAAATGCAGATTAGCAGCAAAGTGGTGATCCTGTTCCATTTTTGAAACAAGAAATGCTGCATTTTTAATGTTGGCTTATTTGCATACCTCAGAAGTTAATAAATATTTCCTGCCCTCTACAAAATAAAAAGAAAGTTGTAACTATCTCCACCGTGGAGTCATGGTCTGATATTGTTGATAACCTGTAGTGCAGCTTAAAAAGCTAGTTGTTTGGAAAGCTGAAGCCATGTTTTACCTATTATATCAGAAGACTTCTCCATGGTCCTGAAATAGTGCAGAAGTAGCCCACCAGGGCCACATCAACAAGCATTTGACAAAATTGGAAAACGGCAGGTAAGTCATCTCTTTAAGTTACATATTTTTTTATATAAATTCAAGTAGCCACAGGGGAGACTGATCAGGCTTAAAATGGTGGGAGTGGAAAGGGAGCTTAACTTTTTCCACTCTTCCCATGGCACTGATGAAAACAACATTTCCAAAGCAGGGAGTTCCAGTTCCAGTGCCAACAGAGGCTTCCTCTTGATGAAAAAAGTTGTATGTCTGATTTTCTGTGATTTTCACTGAAACCACAATGGGGAGAAGGCTAAACTCTTGTTACTGTTTGGCTTTTGAGAAAAGAAACTAACAGGAACAAACTGGTCATTAGATTAGAAAGGTGTTTCAATTTTTTAAAAAAAATACTTACATAACAGGCCTCCTATGGCTGTGTACACAGTGGACTCATTGCTAATCTTGTCAGCAATCTTGCACACCTTTTATAATCTATTTAAAACCATAAAAATGAAATTAACATTAATCATCATGTTGTTTAATTTCCTAGAGTGTAAGTCCAGTTTCATTTGCCATCAGCTGCAAAATGTAGGTGTTTTAGGGAGTTTTTTATATGTCTCCCTAGACGGGCTGCAATAAAACAATCATTTAACAAGTAACATTCCTTGTAGGGTAGCCCAATACAAGTGGAAACAAAGGATTCATATATGTCCCCTAATGAACAAAACATTGATATGAACTATTGGTACTATTGGAAAGTTGAAAAGGAAGGAAGTAGTTTTCAACATACATTACATTCAGCATGGCACTACATTCAGCCCTGGCACCAGGTGAAAAATGCCACTGAAAGTTGACAGCACTCAAGGTCGATTTAGCATAGCTCTGAACCCCAGTTCCTGGGAATCTCAAGTGGAAGAGTGCCACTATACTCACTACCCTACTTGTGGACTTCCCAAAGGCCTCATGTTTGCCAATGGAGAAAAGAATGCTGGACTAGTCTAACCCAGCAAGGCTCTTCTTATGTTCTTAATGGCAGTGGACACATGTGTATTCCATTCTCAAGAAAGACTGGGGGAAATGATTTGGTGTTAAGAACCTGCTCAACCCTGGCCTAAGACCAGACAGACAGGACAATGAAACATGGAAGTAGTTTTTAGCTGGAACTTACAGGCTGGTGTTGAACAATCCCGTGTGTTGTGATAGAGCCGGTGGAAATGCTTACTACATTCAGCTGAAAATGTAACTGGACCTGTTTGAGGATTAATCAAACACAACATTTTGATTGCATTTCTAATTCTATTGCAAACTAAGTTGCACAAATAATTAATAAATAGTTAGTTCAGATTTGCTTCGTCTAATATGTTTCAAACCTTTCACCAGGTACTCTCCTTGTCAAATAAGGCAAGGTAGTGGTTAATAGAAAAGGGACCTTTTCAGTGATAGCACTAGGGGTGTGGAATGTCCTGCTCAGAGAAGCTAACTTGGCACCTACACTGTGGTCCTTTTGGCATCAAGTGAAGGTATTTCTCTTCCCCACTCCTGCCCCAGATTTTCAATCTTTAAAAATGTTAAGTGTTTTTTTAGATATTTTGGGCTACTGTTTTTCCTTAGCTTATTTTGTCTTTATTCTCCTACTATATTCAGCGCTGTGGGTTAAACCACAGAGCCTAGGACTTGTCAATCAGAAGGTCGGCGGTTCAAATCCCCGCGACAGGATGAGCTCTCATTGCTCGGTCCCTGCTCCTGTCAACCTAGCAGTTCAAAAGCACATCAAAGTGCAAGTAGATAAATAGGTACCGCTCCGGCGGGAAGGTAAACGGCATTTCTGTGCGCTGCTCTGGTTTCGCCAGAAGCGGCTTAGTCATGCTGGCCACATGCTGTACGCTGGCTCCCTCTGCCAATAAAGCGAGATGAGCGCCGCAACCCCAGAGTTGGCCACGACTGGACCTAATGGTCAGGGGTCCCTTTACCTTTACCTTTATATTCAGCTTTTAGGTTTATTTATATGCTTTTAATTTCTATACTATAAACCACCCAGAGAACTATGTTTCATGGGTGTGTGTGGGGGGGTGATAAAGAGATACAAATATTGTGATAAATAAATGTTCACAGTACGATTTTACTGGAGTTTCTGACAAAATTACATATAACCATATTAATGTAATTAAAGCTATTGGAATAATGAAAAAGAAGGCCAGTGATGGGTGATGGGTTACAACTATAAAGGCTACAAAATTTTATCACCAAGACTTTTCACACCGGCTCCTCAACTCTATTGAGCCTTTTCCAATCTATTGGGGGAAAGGCATCTGAAGATATTTAGGGAAGTTAAAAGTTGGGAGTCACTTGCCAATGGAACAGCTAGCCTTTTAATGGGCCTTAAGATTCCATGCCCTAACCTGTGGGTCCCATTACAACCTGTTGGGAAGCAAGTAGGAAAACAGCAGCCCCAAAGGTTGGACCTAGTAATTTACAATATAGGCTTCCTTCATTGGGAGAGGAGATAAGACACGCTCCTTTATGTAGGCAACATCTGGCAAGAGATTAAACACAGAATTGCTTTCACACACAAAGTGTTCTTACCTGTGAAATGTTTGATGAACTTGTCCTTTAAGTTGGAATCTCTTGGAAATACTTCTGGGGAGGAAAAGATATTTCATTATCAATAATGTGTTAAAGAAAAGTCTACATCAAAATATGTGCATGCACAGAGAGAGAGAGAGAGACAGAGAGAGAGAGATACAGTAACTGTTTTTCAAAAGCTGTGTTGTTTTCCACCCTGAACTCCTCCTTTAGGAGGTTGGATGAGATTAAAAAACAACAACTAATCATCATCTGAGTATGACTTAGATATCAACATATGGGTTTAATAAATATAAAGTATATTTGTCCATAAGCTGTTTCAAAACTAAATCTGATACAAAATAAAACCGAACAGCAGTATTTACATAGGCATGCTATACAGAGAATATATATATATTAGTTACCATTTAAATACCAGTCTCAATACAAAAACCTTTCTGCAGATGCAGGAGCTCTTCTGTATATACAGAGCTCCACATATGTAAGGCATATTCTTAATGCCAGTGGAAGCATATATTTATTTGTGGGCCTAAAGCTGACCCCTCCAATGAGTTTTTGCTGTAAATTGTCCATGAATCAGAAGACCAAAAGAGTCTGAAACAATGTGAGGTGTGGGAAGTCCCCCTTTACTGTGAAGGTCCATGAATGTTACAATACACTCACAGCAATGGTACCCCCACATGGGGAGAAAACTGGCGAGGAGCAGGCATTACCTATGTGCTATACAGCATCCCAACACTTAGAGTTGCAGGGGGAGCAGTATTCAGCAAGAGTGGGGTGGCACCTGGTTGGGGGGGGGGGGAAGAGCACTCTTCCTTCAAGACTACTTCATTCCCTCACTCCCTTTCAAGAAGCTGCCAGTCGCCCACTACACAATTATTTTTGCATTACATTTCTGATAAATGATAAAAACAAAAAGCACCACTAAAAAAGAGAAGTACCAGATATGAAATGTGTTCTCATCAGTTCTGGTAAGTTATGTTCAATCAAACAATCAAGATGTAATTTGGTATTTATGGTGAATTTTTTTTTGGGGGGGGGGCACAATATCCACACAGAGTCCCGTCAAAGTTGTTAACATGGATCTTTGCTGTGCATAAATATCAACAAACTGAAACAACATTTAAGGAAGCATTTTGAAAAGTGACTAACCATTATATTTTTATTATCAGCCCTACCCTCTCATGCAGAAGAAAAGCAGCATGTCATTTTTATACAAAACAGAGTAGTTCTAAAACGCGGTGTTCCGCAAATAAAAGCATCTACTCTTATTTGTGCAGGCTTTATGGACTTGCATCCTCACAGTTATAGGCAAAGTTGCATTATATAAGCAAGAGTTTCATCCCTTGCATAATCCCAGTTAATAATAATAAGTAATCTTCTTTATCGGGGATTTCTTTTTTATTTCCAATGGGATCTTTCAACTTGTATGCCTAGTCTTCTTTAGATAATTAAGCATTATAGAATAAATCCTGCCCCTTAGTCCACAGCAGCAGTAGCTATGAAAAGCTGGAGGAGTGGCCATACTACTGATCTAATTCTCTGACGCTTTGGATATTGTTGTTCTTGTAGGCACCAGATGGGGCCCCAAGATTAGCTAGGTTCAGCGGCACAATGCCACACAAGACCTTCCGAGTGACCTTGCAGAAATGCAATTTGTTTTTCTGCTTTAATCCCAAAGCCACTGCCTTTGGAGTAAAACTTCCTGAGGAGAGATTATTTCATGGGAAATAGCTTGAGGATGGTCCCCTTTATAGTTTAATTTGTATCTTCAAAGGAAAGCTGCTTCTTTCTCTTAGTGCATGGTGAATACTTCTCTGAGAAGCAGTGGATCATCAAAGCAGACACATATCAGGTGATAAAGCCTAACTAGCTCTTTAAAATCTGCCCCCGTGGCCCGTTCACAAAGCGATGCTTACCACATAACTGAAGCTAATAAATCTAAGCATAATTATGACAAGATGCTACCACAATTAAGTAATCATGGATTTAGCGGAAGCAGACTTACGAAATGGTCACACTTGTCACCACAGTTCTCATGATCAACTGAGAACCTTGCCAAGGTGAAACCAATAAATATGTTCATAAGATAAGACCTTTGGGAAACAAAACCCATTTTAAATCACCATCTGTGATATACATGTTAAAGACTGATCTAATAGTGTTGAGTAAAGAAAACATTGCTTTGGCACCTTAGAGAGACTAAGGATGCAATCCTCTACAGTCTTACTTTTGAGTAAACTGGAAACTAATTGACACTGTTGAATTACTTTGCAAAGGTTTTGGGCTATAACTGATTTATTGAGCCATGAGCTCTTATGAGCAAATTCAAATCTCTCTCTCTCTCTCTCTCTCTCTCTCTGTGTGTGTGTGTGTGTGTATAACAAAGTGTAACAAGGTTGAGGTGATTTAGTGGATATGGACAATATAAGAAAAAATATCAAGAAAACAGGATTGCAAACAATAACTCCAGTGCTAACATATTAAACATCAATACAATATATAAACTAAGTATTTGCTGAACATTAAGTAACCATTGGACCACCCTGCAAAGCCTCATCATTTCCACTGGAAATTTCAGAGGACTGAAGAATGGGGTGAGCTGCTTGTTGCATCTCTGATGTTGCATGAAGCAGCAGCAATGCTTGTTCCATAACTCTGCTGTTCTGCCTCATCTCAGTGGTAGCCCCCATCCATCCACCCTCACCCATTACTAGGATTCACCCTCACTCTGCAATCAGGGCAAGCCTTAGCTTACCGATTTTGCTTCCCAACCTCCAGGACAACCCCTACCATTAGGCAGAGTGGGATGACCACCACAGGTAGCTGATTTCAGGTTGTAAATAACAATAACTATATTACTAAAGCTAGGAAGTAGAAAAGCTTGTGGATTTTTTCTGCCATAGGTGGCAAAATAACTTAGCTGGTCTTGGCTACTTTACACCTTGACCAAGATGGAGAGGGCAGAGTTCCATCTGCTTCTACACCTCAAACAGCACAATGTCTCTGCTCAGTCCTGCCAACCTCACTGAAAGTGCTAAAAAAGAGGAGGCTAGATAACTCAGCCTCTGATTCCTTCTGTAGAAGGAGATAATGATCTACATATGGCTTGAATTCCAGCAGCAGATTTTGACGCACAAATTATGCTAGGCTTGAAAGCCATGACTAACGTAACAAAATATTTCCCCCCATAAAAATCCAGAACGGCTGCAGGATCTGGTTGCTCTAACAGCTGCCTTAGATCCCCATAGTGAGTGTTAGGAGGCTTGCATTAGTGGAAAGACAGGAGATGAGTAAGGAATGGCCATAAAGTCACCATGAGACCTTGAACCCCACTCCACCCTCCTTTGGCTTGTCCTGTTAATACATTGAGGGGGCAATCCTATGCACAATAAGCTAGTGTGAAGTCGCACCAGATCCAAAGCCCATTTATCAGTAGGGCTGCTGCTGCTGTTCTGGCTAAACCTGGCAGAGGAAAAACAAGTCTTTTAAATAATGTTCTGTGCTAGGATGCCAGGTCACATACAGTAAATGAGCTGAATAGGCTTAGGGTCTAGCCTAAAAGTCCTCCCTCAGTGGCCCCTTTTTGGAGGCCTACACTGGCCAAGGCGAGTGGGTTTTTGCCCTCCTGATCTTCTCTGAGCCAAAGAAGCATTCAGTAACATCAGGTACTCATCTCTCATTCAGGCAAGCGTTGTTTTTGAGCCTGAGGATGATGAACTTTACCACCATCATTGCTACTAACACTACCCACATATCATTAGTGGCACATAAGCAAATATCCACTGAGCCTTGTCTATGTTATATCCAGGATATACATTGTGGCACGGGGGAGCAAAGGGCTTCTGAGAGACCTGTTGCAAATTAGTGTTCTGAAAATCCTAAAAATAAATGCTACTTTGCATATATGGTCATTCAAAAGAGTGAAATTCCATAAAACATTTGAATTTACTGGAACTATGGTGAAGGAATTAGGTAAACCTGGTGGACTCATTTTTAGTCAATCTTAACTATTTCTTCCCTCGGGTCTTATGGCACTATAATTTTGTCACTTTAAGAAAGAATCAGATTGTGTTGTTCGGTCTTCACTTTTAGTGCACATGCATAGATAATCAGTATGTTGAGCACTGATTTTACACAAATGATTCTTCTACACAACTGAGTTGTCTGTAAATTGATCTGTGGAAATTAGTACATGCGTATGATAGGATAATTGCTGCCCACACATAAAAAATTCAACCTGAATAAGCTAATGTCATGCAGTGCACAAAATCAACCCATATCATTTTAGACTACACGTTAGATTTTACATGCGTAGAAGACATTCAAATGTTCCATCCTCGCATTGGTATGTGTGGCTGGTGTACACTAAATCCTTTCCAGGCAACAAGCTAAATCAGAAGAGCAATACTGTGTGATCCAGAACCTTAGTAGAAGAAAGAACTTGCTGAATTAAAAGAGAATGGCTATTTTCTTCTGCTTCATTGTTCAAAATATGTGGAAGTATGTTTGCTTGAGATCATCACAGGTCAATCAATAATCTATATGTTCAAGGCATGACATTTCAGAAGAGAATAACTATGTTCCTCTATGTTGCTCATGAGGCTCTTTAGGCTCATGCTTTTTGACATTTCAAGGGGGCGAAAATGTAAATGAAAGTTAATTTTTTATTCAAACAAACAAAACATCAAGCCAAAAGTAATAATAAAAACAGCTACAAAAGCAGGAAGAATAAAATTAAGAGATAATAAAATAATAATCATAGAAAACTTTAAAAAAGAAATGAATTTGTGGCATAAAATATATTCCATAGTGGAATACAAGGTTCATATTTGTACCAAATATAACCAAATAACCATGAATGTTGCCAAATAATGTGCTAACCATGAGATTTGGTTATATAAATCACAAACTGTCCCTATGCAAGCAAAGTTGGAGGGGTCCACATTAGCCCTGGTGGCACGTATTTTATGAATCAGTTTTTCAGAAATTTCAATGAACATTACTTTTTTAAACCACAGATCCTTAGAATAACAAGATGCATTCTTGAG